TCATGCTGTGCCTTTCTTAAATAAATCAGTCTTTGGTTAACTGCCAACTCGTGCGTTTCACTACAATAATAATAATAATTAAAATAATAATACAATCATAGTAGTAATAATAATCATTATAATAATAATAAATAATAATAACAATAATAATAATTAAATAATATTATAAAAATAATATTAATAATAATAATTATAATAACAATAATAATGTTATAATAATAATCATTATATAATATAATAATAATTATAACAATATAATAATAATAATAATAATTATATAAATATAATAATAATAATAATAGTAATAATTATAATTTATAATAATAATAATAATTATAATAATAATATCATAATAATATAATTATAATAATAATAGTAATATATTATAATAATAATAATAACTATAACAATCATAAAATAATAATTATAATAAGAATAATAATATAATGACAATAATAATAATTATAATAATATATAATAATATAATAATAAAAACGCTAATAGAGAAGCTAGAGGTAATGAAACAACAAATCTCGGCCACTGCTCAGAGACTCAGAAGGTACAAGGATCGACAAGAGCAGCACAAGCAAAATAGTCTCTTTAATGTCAATCCCAAAGCATTTTATAGGGAGCTGCGAGAAGGAAAAAGGGAACCCATTGAAGCTCCAGCCATCTCTACAACTGAAACGTATTGGAAAAGTATTTTCGAGAAAAGTGTTAACCACAACGAGAACGCAAAGTGGCTGAAAAATGTAGAAAGGGATAGAGCCACAACTATGAGCTGGCAAAATATCAGTGTCGTGGAAGTCAGATCAGCACTGCAGCAGGCCCAAAATTGGAAAGCCCCTGGTATAGACCAGATACCTAATTTCTGGCTGAAACATCTAGTGTCTACACACGAAACAATAACAATGATATATAATAGTTACTTCGATAACGGAACAGATATCCCGAACTGGCTGCCAAAGGGTAAAACATACCTTCTTCCAAAGTCTGGAGATAGTAGGGACCCCAAAAATTACAGGCCTATCACCTGTCTGAACACCTTGTACAAATTGTTAACTAAAGTAGTAGCCAGCAGAATATCTGATTATGTAAATGATAATAAGATAATACCAACTGAACAAAAAGGCTGTGGCAAGGGCTCTTTTGGTTGCAAGGATCAGCTACTCCTCTCGAAAGCCATTGTAGAAGATTGTAAAGAGAACAAAAAAAATCTTAGCATTGGATGGATTGATTATAGAAGGCATTCGACAGCGTCCCGCACAGCTGGCTCCTGAAATCTCTGAAGCTTATAGGAACATCTGAGAAGATCATTGATCTATGTAAGCGATTGATTTCGCTATGGAGTACTACCCTGTTAGTCAGTAATAATGGGGAAGAAATAGAGTTAGGACCCATACAGATAAAAAGAGGTATATATCAAGGTGATACCTTGTCACCTCTTCTGTTTGTGATTGCGATGGTTCCTTTAAGTACGCTGCTCAACGAGGCCAACCTAGGTTACCAAATTAAAGGAGCAAATGATTGTCTCTCTCATTTGCTATTTATGGATGACCTGAAGCTCATATCTCCCAGCCAAAACAAACTGAAAACGTCTCTCAATATTGTAAAAAAATTTAGCGACGACATACAGATGAGCTTCGGTCTCGATAAGTGCGCTGTAGTCACATTCAGGAGAGGAATGCATTATGACTCTGCTAATATAATAGTTGATGAAGGACAGACGATCAAATCACTAGAACATGACGGAGTGTACAAGTACCTGAGAATTAAAGAAGGCCCACACATCACCCACGATTCACTGAAAGTTGATATTAGACATGAGTATATAACGAGAGTACGTAAAATTCTGCAAACTCAACTCACGTCTAGAAACAAGATAACAGCAATTGGAGCTCTTGCCATACCAATCATGCAGTACAGCTTTGGTATAATCAATTGGACATTGGATGACATAAGACAAATGGATCGCAAAACAAGAAAACTAATGACAACACATAATATCCTTCATCCCAAAGCAGACATCGATAGATTATACGTGCCACGAAAGAAAGGGGGACGAGGACTAAAGCAAATAGAAGAAACGTACAACAATACTATCTTCTCAGTAGGGCAGTATATTCAAACCAGATCTGAGCAAGACCGCCTACTACAGATGTTACTAGCACATGACAATAGGAAACCAACATATAGATCTATTGTAAAGCGTAGTAATAAGATCAAATTAGAAGCTGCGGAAACCGGACATACGGTCGAGCGAGGTAACAGGTCCATCAAACTGTACTTGAAGCAATGTGTCGAAGAGAAATGGCGGAGTAAGCCTCTACACGGACAGCATATCCGTCAAATGGAGGAGCTTCCGGTTGACTTAAAACTGTCATTTGGATGGTTACAATACGGAGATTTAAAAGGGGAAACCGAAAGCTTGCTGGTGGCAGTTGGTCTTGTGCTGCCACCATACCACCATACACAAGACGAGGAATGACGGTAAATGCAGATTGTGTCACATTCATAATAAAACTGTTGAACATATAATATCTGCATGTCCAATACTAGCGCCAAAAGAATATACTGACAGGCACAATAATGTCTGCGCAGCCATCCATCTAGAAGCGTCTCGCCACCTTGGTTGTCCAATAAAATCGACGAAATGGTATGAGCATCACCCCGACAGAATAACACAAAGTGAAGATGGTAGTATCACAATAATGTATGACCATCCCGTTATCACGGATAGAGAAATAAAAGCAAACAGAACAGATATTGTTATAAAAACCACCGGAATGTGCTATATAATTGATATATCGGTACCTGCAGATAGACATGTCATACAAAAGGAGGCTGAAAAGCAACTAAAATACAAATCATTACTCATAGAAGTGCAAAGAATGAGGCATACAAAGGCAGTTGTTATTCCCGTAGTGATTGGTTCAACTGGATATGTCACTCGCAACATCCTAGATAACCTAAAAAGGATACCAGGAGATCATAATTTCTATCAGTTACAGAAGATCGCCTTATTAGGCACATCGCACATAATTAGGAAAGTTATAACATAACCAGCTCATAAACTACAAAGATCTGTGCCCCTCAGGTCCTCGGCGAGGACCCGGTGTAGAGGTCAAACCGTTCCATATAAGATACCGCTACTAATAGACAACGGTCCTGTAGCGTGAAAAAAAAAATAATAATAATAATAATAATAATAATAATTATAATAATACTAATAATAATAATAATAATAATAGTTATAATAATAATCATAATAATAATAATAATAATTATTATTATTATAATAATAATAATAATAATTATAATAATAATAATAATCATAATAATTATAATAATAATAATAATAATAATAATAATAATAATAATAATGCAGCTGTTGCAACAGTAAGAACACTTGGTGTCAAAATGCCAACTCAAAGATTACTGAAAATTCAGTAAAACCAATAACACCAAAATAGGAAAAACGTCTGGAAAGAAGAACGGCAGACATTCACAGAGATATCGGACGTCTTACCCAATTCACACGAGGAATAACAACTCGAAAAGTCCGAAAGCAAGCTATGGAAATAATGCAACGACTCCACCATCATTCTCACCAAGACGTAACTAACATCAACGAGTGGCAATGCCTTGATACCTTGAAGCAAAAACTGTCCGTATATACTCAGCGATTGAAAAGGTATAAAGCGTCCAGTCACAGAAAGCACGACAATGCGCTCTTTCAACGATCCGAAAAGGCATTCTACAGGAAACTGTCATCCGAACCCCAGGAAAAGAGCAAAACGGTGCCCACAAAGGACCAAGTAGAGGAATTTTGGGGCAAGCAGTTGGGCTCGACAGCTTATTACAAGAACTGTGCAGGATGGATTACAGATGAAGAAGCGAAGAGCCATTATTGCAATCCCATGCAGTATAGGGCATATACCAAACAAGAAATCGTGGATATCGTTAAGCAGTTGCATAATTGGAAGGCCCCGGGCCCAGACCAGATTCATGGCTACTGGATAAAGAAGCTTTGGTGCATGCATGAACAACTAACAAGATATATCAATGACATGCTTGTGAATCCAAATAAGACTCCAACGTTCCTCACACAAGGGCTAACGGTATTAATACCAAAAGATCTCAATAATACAGAAGACCCAGCAAAATACCGCCCAATTAC